CATGTACAGTATTTACATAAGTGTTGTATTTTTGGAACAGTGTGCTATATTGTGCCTTCCATTTGATTAGATAGTCTTTTTAAATCTTAGAGGCTTCAAGAAGCGTGCCCCTCGAGCACTCAAGGAGATTCGGAAATTTGCCATGAAGGAGATGGGAACACCAGACGTGCGCATTGACACCAGGCTCAACAAAGCTGTCTGGGCCAAAGGAATCAGGTGTGAAAGTTCTCTGTGTTAGAAGATGAATGAACGTGGCCAGTTACTTGGGAGAGTAGAGAAATTACTGTGTAGGGTAGCATTTACGGGGAAGTCCTTTAAAGTGACATTTGAACGGAGCGACACAGCTGGTGAAGGGACCGGCATTGTGGGGTCAAAGGAAAGAGCAGTGCACAGAGAGCACCGTGTCGTGTGTGCTGGTGTATACGGTGGTCTTGTAGAATGTCCTACAGTGCACAGAATCGCCCCCCACAACCAAAGAATTATCCAGCCCAAGATGTTACCAGTGCTGCCTGAGTGAGACCCTGTTTTTGAATGCTGTAAGCAGGATGGGATTTTTCCTGTGGGGGCTGCTGTGAAGTACTGGAGTGAAAGTGGGTCTAGAACCAGTTACAGGAAGATTGATAGCTTTGATGGGGCTAGGGGTAGGAGGGCGGGGACCAGGGTTAAGAGCTGAACGTAAGGTATCTGGCAAAGACACCTCCAGTGAGACCTAATGGCTATGGGAGGTCGAAGTTGTGACTGTCAGGAATGCAGTGCCTAGCTTGTGCTTAGATCAGTAACAAAGAATGGAGGCATTGCAGTCAACTGTACAGGTGGAGTCGATAGGATCAGATCATGGTGTGCATGAGATAGACATGAATGGTTTAACAGTCTGTGCATTCAACATAGGTACGGTCTGGATCAGTTCAACACTTTCTCCACATTTAAATATGGCATCAACCAAATACTATTTCTCAGAACCACATTGCTTATGTTGGTGGTTGTTGGTAGAGGCAAGAGATGTATCTTTGAATGTAAGTGGTGGCTGCTTGCTTAGAGGGGCATGCGTCCTGAGGCAGCCACATGTGCTGCCCACCTGTGGGGGAACTTGATTTTCCAGGGAACGTACCCGTCTAGAGGCTGGTGGTCAGGTTACATTAAGAACATGGGGAAGAGGGGGTGGGTGTTGGGTGGTTGGTGACTATTTTCCTTGGAAACACTGACAAGAGCCTTTGGTGTGAAACCTTTCTATTTCAGGAACGTCCCATACCGTATCCGGGTGCGGTTGTCCAGAAAACGTAATGAGGATGAAGATTCACCAAACAAACTCTATACACTGGTGACTTATGTGCCTGTCACCACCTTCAAAAGTAAGTACCACAAAGCTGTTCTATGCCGTGGAACCGGTTCCGACTCATATAGCGACCCTATACAGGGATTCTGAGACTAAATCTTTACGGGAGCAGAAAGCCTCATCTTTCTCCCAAGGAACAGTGGGTAGTTTCAAACTGCTGACCTTAGTTAGCAGCCCAACTAGTAACCACTACACTACCAGAGTTCCTTGTGAATAAATGCAGAAAAGTAAAAACACTAAAGTAGTGATTATCTCTAGATGGTAAAAACACAGAGAGGGATAATGATTCTGAAGTTAATTATAAAATGAGTGTGGGAATTGATGGGCTGTTGTTTCTTTTGCAGACCTACAGACAGTCAATGTGGATGAAAACTAATATTTTATGATCAAATAAATGTATAAATCTGCCTTCATGGGATTCTGGTTTCCGTTTGAAAATGCATTGATTGTGCTGGTGTGAGGGTAGTCTGAGGTGCTCCTGGATGACTGACGTCATTCTGGAGACTGATTCCTAAATACTGGTGCCTGTGCTCACCAGTCCCTGGAGAACATGCGTGGTAGATAAAGGGGTCGGCAAGAAAAAGATGAAGGCCCCAAGATGGATTGACACAGTGGCAGCCACAGACGTAGTAGTTTTGAGGCTGGTGTGGGGCCGAGCAGCGTGGCCTTGTGTTGTGCTGAGGGTGGCTAATGTCCTCACTCCCTGAGGATCCCTGATGGTGCAGTGGTGGTGGTGAGCATTAGATTGCCAGCCCAAAGGTCAGTGATTCCAGCCCCACTACCTGCTTTTTCGGAGAAAGGAGGCTGGATGTTCTTGTGAAAACTTACTCTTAAAGGAGCCATTATGCTCTACTATATGGCACCTGAGCCAGAATCTACTGGGAGGCAGGCAGGTGTTGTAGGTTGTGTTCTTTACCTAAGGAGTCTTTGGGGGTCAATGGCTTCATGTGTTGCCCCCAGGGGCTCTGCCAGAAAAGACTTTGCATCGTAGTCTGCTTCTGTAAATAAAATGCTACTGAGTCACGTGGGGCTGATAGCAACTCAGGAGCACCTAACAGTGTGCTCACCACTATCCTGTCCTCTAGAGTTTCAGAGTGTTTGGAAATTACCTAGTTTTGTATGACAGTCTCTAAGTGCATCCTGGTTTGAGAACCAGTTTTAGGAAATTGGAGGTAGCAATAAAATGTAGGACAAGCCCTGGACTATAAACTAAGGTTAGCAGTTCAACCTACCAGTTGCTCCTTGGAAACCCTGTATAGGGTCGGTGAGTTGGAAACTGATTCAGTGGCACTTTACAACCACAACAGTGTGCTGTGGGGTAAGTAGTGGTGTTGCTAAGTTGGAATCGACTCAATGGCACATAAAATTTGATTAAAAGCAGAGAAGTCACTCAAAGGTTAAAAGCTGCTTTTTGGGGTTCCAATGGGGTAATCTTGATTTTTCTTGAAAGGGCACAGGGACGTAGGAAGTTTAAGAAAATTGAAAACTGCATTGGTGAGGAAAAGGCCAGGAAAATAGTTTTGAGGAATCTCACTGTTGAGTGCCAATTCATCTCATTTTTCAAGGTTAGCAAGGGATTGGCGAAGTGGAAGGTCAGTGGAGAAATGGATTGGCAATGAGCGCAGGTGTAGCAACAATTATGACTTTAGTGCATGACTGGCAGTGTTTTTGTTCTATTGTATGTAAGGTCACTGAGAGTTCAGTACCCACTCCACCATAGCTAACAAGGTTTGTGCTAAGAATTTCATTTGGAAGTCTTAACCCCATCCTGATCTTTGCTCCTTAAGACTCGTTTATTAAAGTCAACAGTTATAGGAATACAATTTGAGTCCCTTCGAGGGTTCTGACTCTGACCCTGTATAGAATTTTTGAGGCTGTAAGTCTATGGGCGCAGAAAACCTCATGCTAACCCCCAGGAGTGTCTGGCAGATTCAAAGTGCTGATCTGCTGGTTAGCCCAGCTTGGCATCACTACACTATGCTGTTATGTTAAGTGTGAGTCCTGACAAGTAGTGCCCCTGTGTGGGCTAATTCACTGGACCATAAAGTCAGCAGTTCAAGCTCACCAGCCACTCCTTGGAAACCCTATACAGTGCCGCTATGGGTCGGAACTATGCTCGGAAGAGCAGCTGGAAAATTTGAACTGCTGACTTTGCAGTTCAAGCTGACCTTGTGGTCCAGTGTGTTAGACTACAGCATCCCGCCAGGATTCCTTTGAAGCTGTCAAAACTGCCATTTGACAGGATACAGAAGGAGCAGCACAGAATTCTTTGGGAGAAGGGTTAAGAGAGCTCGAGTCATTGCCTTCAGAAGTATATAGACCTAGATGGAGGATATATCAAAACAATAGCTTCACATTTTGACATTTCTAATACATGTTGCTATTTTGTAGCAATATATTTTGATATAAAATAGTAATGCAGCAAGCACGAGGTTGTACTAACTGCAAGCTCATCTTTAATGACCCTAAGAAGTTGTTGAGTCCTGGTGTGACAATGTAAGATAAGCTCTAGACTGCTAACTGAAAGATCGATTATTGAAATTCACTAGCTATGACAATAAACTCAACAGCTAGCAACAAAAAGCTAGCTAACGGCAAAATCAGTAGTTCAAATTCACCAGCCAGTCCTCAGGAGAAAGAACCGTCTTGATGGCACACAATCACTAACCAAGAGGTACATTTAGTCTCACTTTTTACATAGACTCCTGGTGTGGTGCTGTAGGTAAGCACTGGACTACTAAGCATAGGTCAGCAGTTCAAACCCAGTAGCTGCTCCTTGGAAAACCCTATACATAGCGTTGCTATGAGTTGGAACCCACTCAGGCATTTAACACAAAGCTCGAGAGGTAAAGTCCACAGTAACCATTTGCTTTTCAATTCAGTCCTTAAAGGTAGGTGTGGCAGGATTGGTTCCACCTCGGATTGTTCATTAAATGCCATGTAAAGAGGCCCAGTAGTGTAGTGGTTACAAGTTGAGTTGTGCACCGCAAGGTCAGCTATTCTGCGGGGGAAAGATGAGGCTTTCTGCTCCCATAAAGATTTATAGCCTCCGAAACCCTGTATTGGGTCCCTATGAGTAGGAACCAGCTACATCACGAAACAACAAAGAGGTCCCTTATTGGTGACTGGAACAGCCCAGGTGGAGTTGACAACCACCTGCCACCCTCTACAGGACGTGAGCTGGGTGGCGCTGGAGACCTGTCCTGCTCAGCTAGTCACTGGAACAGTTCAGCCAGGACCTGCCTGGGAAGGTTCAGAACAGTCCCGACCTTAACCAGGCGAAAGAAAAAGACCAAGTCAATACAAAAATTTCTTATTAAAAATTTTGAGGCCAACATCAAAAACATGGTTTGTACACGTTTTTAGAAGGACAAAGTGAATACAACCAAATATATTAAAATGGTTTCAATTACCAGCATTGAAACAAAATTAGTGCAAAAAAAGGGGGAAAAAAAGCCAAATACAATTGCACAGACAGTGGCCCTTAGATCTCGAGAGTGAACTTGATTCTGAAACCTCACCCAACATCCCAAGTGTGAAAAGGCTGGGGGCTTGTCTCCTGTTGAGACGTGGTCCACAGGAGGAACAGAACCACACTTCATCACAGCTGTGACCCTGCAAGTCTCCCTACAAGTACCCTGTCAAGGTCCAGTTGTTGGTTTTCTTGAATAAATAGAAATATATGAGGGTTGCATCTGTTTCCCTGACCACAGTCCTGGCTGTCAGCTACCTGGTTTGTATAGTGTCCTCCCAAAGGAACTAGCCTAAAACATAGGGATGGACAACCCAAGAAACAGCCTGTGGTCCTTGCTTTGGTCTATTGGCTCCAGTGTACTCCACAGCAAACTGCCACACTCGCTACAGGCTCTTCAGCTTCAGTTCGGGCTGAGGCTGGTGGCTCATTTCAAAGGTTTTGAGACTGTACTGATTGATCTTGGCATTTTCAAGTTTGGATTTGATTTCTAGTGGCTTTTCAAAGAAGTTTACTAATGATTGCTCAGTCAGAAGCGACGCTAAAATATGTTCAAGAGAAACCGTCCAATCTTCTTCTCTTCCCACCTCCACGGGAAATGCTTGGGGGTCCTGGGGCATAGTCCCAGTGTCAGCAAATACAGAGTCCTGGTCAGGAGAAGGCACTGAAGCCTGCAGGTCCTCCCCTGCTTCCTGGGAGCAGCTTCCGGAGCTGCTGCTATGCTGCCCTACTTCCCCGATCTGCAGCAGGAGCGTGGTCACCGTGGCGATGGCTTGGTACAACTCGTTTTCTTCCGGATCTTCATGGAACATGCTGTACAGAGTTTTACAGAACTGGATAAATTCCCTCTGAAATTGGAAAGAAAAGTTCATAGTAGGTCAGTGTCTTAGGCCGGGTTTTCTAGAGAAGCAAAACCAATGAGAGAGTGTGTGTGTGTGACTCAGTAAGTGACTGAGTGTTGAGAGAGAAGTTTATTATATCATCAAGACTATGGCTTTTAATTGTAGAGTACCAAGCCCCCAGTGAAAAAGAAAATCCCTCCCACATGCCCATTATATTGGGAGCGGGCCTTCAATTGATTAGCTAACTCTGCCTCTATTAGGTTTCATCACCTTGGGAATAAACACATCTCAACTGCTAAATCTGAAATCCTGTTCTAGGCAAGTTGACACAGATCCCTAACCGTTATAGTCAGCATTAATCAGGAGGAAAACATGGTAAGTGCCATCCAGTAAGTTCCAACTCACAGCAACCCTGTATAGGGTTTCCAAGGAGTAGCTGGTGGGTTTGAACTGCCAACCTTGTGGTTAGCAGTTCAGTGCTGATCCTATAGCGCCACACCAGGAGTCCATTAAAAAAATCTATACTTAGCCCTTTAAGAAAACTATTTGGAAGCAGAAGGTATGGAAAGTTGGTCTCTGCCCTTCTACTGTGGAAATGTCTTAAAAGGTGATTTCTGGGAGTTTGGGAAAGAGTATTTGTAAATCTAGCAAGTCAACCTGCAGAAACGTGTCCAAATAGAAAACCGGTAAAGTATGGTCTGGTGGGAATACCAAACAACTATAGGTTTTAAGATGATAATGATGAGTAGTTGGTACTCTGCTTTCTCAAGTTAAAATGCCCTCCTTCCTCCATAGGCTTTAAGTGATGAGAGGTGGTCCAGGGAGAGGTTGCTACACAGTTCCTTAGGAACATAGAACAAATGGGAAATAACAGATATAACAGAATCAGGATTTGGGGAAAAGCCACAATTGTTTTGAAGTAAACTAAAGTTATTAAACAATGTGATCCTGTTTTTGCTTAAAACATGTCTGATGATAAAACCAATGCTGTATGTATGCATACGTGTGCGCTACTGCCAGCTTTGGGGGGTGAGGGTTAGATGTCACACCAAGAGTAGAATGGAAAATCCGAAAGCAACTATCCTAGAGAGCTGGGATTTTCCAAATGCAGCATGACAATACTGATCTGAAAAACAGTACTTCACTAATAATAAAAAAGATTGTGGATTATCACACACCAAGTTCCCTGCTTATCTCACAGTACACATGAACACTGAAAATATCTGAGTGATAAAACAAAGGAACGATTCTAATAACTAAGCCCAAATTTCCCAAACACTGGAAGGGCCCTTTTCAAATAAAAAATACTTAAAACTGACCACCTATCGCTACCACACGGCAGCTGAGTAGAAATGCGCAGAGGCAGATTCATTATGGAGTCCTGAACAGCAAGCTCAGCAGTTCAAGCTCACTATCCACCTCTCAGAAGCCCTATACAGGGGTCTCTATGAGTCGGAGTCGACTTGATGGTACTTAACATCTGTACTGTACATCGCATAATCAACTGCTTTCCAGAAAACCAAGTGTGTGCACTGATATATCTAGGGAAGGGTGCTGCATCCACAGTTCCCATGTCTCCAGTCTACTCTGAGCACCTTTGGGAATACAAGGGAGCTTTGGAAAGTTCATGAATTTTGTTCTCTGAATTCCAGTTTTTCCCAGGAACTTTCTAAAGCCCCCTCGTTATCTTCACCTCCACTTGGTAAATGAACTTGATATCAAGAGTCTTCAGAGATACAAAGTGCATGTTGTTTTTAGTGCCATAAACTCTGTTCTGACTCATAGCAACCGTGTATGGGATTTCTGAGGTGCCACTTGTTGAGTTTAAATTGCCAACCTTGTGGTTCAAACCTACCTTGAAGTCTGGTGTTTATCCTATGGCACCACACCAGGACTCCACAAAGTAGAAGGCTGCTATGTAATCTGTACATTGTTAAGTGCCATCAAGTCAGTTCAGACTCAGCAACCTTGCATAGGGTTTCTGAGGAGTGACTAGTGAGCTTGAACCACTGACCTTGTGGTTCAAGGGGACTTTGCAGTCCAGTGAATTAGCTCACAGTGCCACAATAGCAGCCTCCTATTACAAGAGCTTTGAGCATCTTTAAAAACAAATTGATGTAGACATTCCACAGTGTTCTGCTCACAGAAGTTTCAAGATTCTTGAATGATGGCTCTGGAGGTCTCGGGATCTGTGCCTCAACAAAGCCTGCCTAAACAAAACATTTGGCAAAACAATGGATTCTCTGCACAGATTAAACCACATACCTGGCTCATTTTGGGTAATTCTTTCTCACTTGTATCTTTTTCTTTGGCTAAATCCTTAATCATCTGCTTCAGCTGTTTCTGATAATCAGTTGTATCACCTTGAGACAAAGGAGAGAGAACACAATATATCATTTAATGAAGGCAAAAAGGAAACTAGAAGGTCATGGTGAAGAGATGCAGTATTCCATTCAGTAAATTCCACAGAGACTCTGAACACAGATTACTGAGGTGGGTGGTGTGTCTGACCACCGACTTGTAACCCAGTGGAAGCTGGGCTGAGAGGGCTGCGGGAACAACATTCAGCAGCAGGAATAAACCAGCAGAGACTGGAGGGACAATCGCCTGGCAGTGCCTGTACTTGGAAGGTTTCTGGCTTCAGAAAGCCATGGGCTTGGTTTTAACTCAGAGGGAACAAGGAGCGGGCAGACAAGTTCAGTACTATGAGCAGTGGCTAATGTCAGCAACTGCAAAATGGTGTGTTCAATGGGCAAAGGAGCAATGAAAAGTGGTACGTGCCATTTGACTTTCCCAAAACCAGAGGTCTTGCAGTCGACAGGAGAGGGTTCTTCAATGGTGACTGGCTGTCTTGGTCATTTTCAGTGAGTGCTTTTAAAGACAGAAACAAAAACAGATCTAAATGATGTGGTGCTGTAGGATCAGTACTAGACTACTAACCACAAGGTCGGTAGTTCAAACCCACCAGCTGCTCCACAGAAGCCCTATAATGGGTTTCTATGAGTCAGAACCAACTCGATGGCACTTAACAAATGAAAGAAAATTTTCTTTCTAATCAAACTTGAGTAATTTCACTTTTTAAGGGAAAGAAAACTGAAGTCCAAGCCAGCAGCTCCCAATCTGTTGAGTCAGCCTGGTCCACAAAGTCAAATGCACACAGGCACTGCCTAGATTCAGAGTAAATAAAATGCCTTATGAACTAAGTCACAGAATGACACTGCTGATGTCCTGAAGAGTATGTGGGAAATCTTATTTTGTTAAAATGGGTATATGTAAACTTGAACATAAATGTATACACACACAAATGTACATGTACGCACGTGTATTCATACATAAATGTATACATACACGTATGCACACATAAATACACTGCCATCAAGTAGACTCTGACCCTCAGAATGTAGGGTTCCCGAGATTCTTTTATGGGAACAGAGGGTGCCACCCTTCTCCTGAGGAACAGCTGGTGGGTTTGGGCCCAATCTTAAGTTAATAGTCCAATGCCTAACCCATAGTGCTATCAGAACTCCTTTATCTACAGACATTTAAAAATACTAGAAATACACCAAGTCTCGCTGGGTAGCAGAATTATAATCACTTTTAATCTTCCCATGTTTATTATTTTTCTTAAAATGACTATGTATAGCTATAATTGGAGCCCTGGTGTAGCATTGTAGGATAATCACTGGACCATAAAGTTGGTCTGAACTGCAAAGTCAGCAGTTCAAAGCCACCAGCCACTCCTTAGAAACCCCATACAGGATTGCTGTGAGTCAAAACCAACATAACGGCACTAAACAACAATAGCTTATTTACACAGTTTCTAAAAATATTGAAAAACAGCTTAACTAAATTCCAAGGAGGCATTTCAGGATGTTTCTTGAAGCATACTAAAACTACAATGATCTTAGAACCCTCATAGACTGCTGGTGGGAATGTAAAATGGGATAGCAGCCACTTTGGAAAACAGTTTCGCCGTTCTTTAAAAAGATAAACATTAAGTTTGTATTTGACACAGCAATTCCGCCGCAGCATTATTCACCATAGACAAAAGGGGAAATTGTCAAAACATTCATAAACAAAACGTATACTCCTAAAATGGAATATTGTTCACTCTAAGTATAAAAGTCAGTAGTGTGCAGTATATTCACGGAGTTGTAGAACCATCATCTCAAATCAATTTTAGAACATTTTCTTTACCCCCAAAAGAAATCCCATACCTGTAGCTGTCACCCTAGGCTCCCTTTTCCTCATTGCCCTCAGCACCAGGAAACCCTTCACTTACTTTTTGTTCTGGACATTTAAATGAGATCATTTGGATGCCTGGCGTGGTGCTGTAGCATCAGCATTAGACAGCTAGCCACAAGGCTGGCAGTTCAAATCCACCAGATGCTCCTGTAAACCCTATCCGGAGTTGCTACGATGAAGAACTGACTCGACAGCACTTAACAACAATATGCTATACAGCTTTTTGTACCTGACTTATTTCACTTAGCATACTGTTTACAAAGTTCATCTGTGTTGTAGCATGGGTCAGAACTTAATTTCTTTTTATGGGTGAATAATATTCCAATCGGAGTCCTGGTATGGTGCTGTGGGCTAATGCGCTGAACTGCAAAATTGGTTTGAACTGCAAGGTAGGTGGTTCAAGCTCACCAGCTTCTCCTCAGAAACCCTATACTGGGTTCCTATGGATCAAAACTCACTCAACGGCACTTAAAAACAACAAAGTGGTGCTATAGGATAAGCACAGGACCACAGGTTGGTTTAAATCACAAGGTTGGGGATTCATACTCACCAGTCGTTCCTTGGAAACCCTATATTGGGTTGTTATGAGTCGGAACCAACTCAATGGAACTGAACAACAATGAGGATGCTATTAAAGCAAAAATAACAAGGGGAAATGACAGACAAGGAAATCCCCGTATTTTAAAAGGTTGGGCCTTGAACCAATGGATAAGGGCACAGCTACGGAGGGCTAGAGCTGAGAGTGAAGCATCCAGCTGACACTGAAATGAGGGGAGAAGTACAAGAACACCCAAATTG